GGGGTCCTTTGGAAAGTGACGATTTTGGCGAAAATGGCGTGCACTAATCTTGTATCTTTTCATCAGCCACAAATAAAAAAAAAAATTAGTGTGCCTGTTGGCCTCGTTCTTAAAACGTGTTTTGGCAGAAATGGCAATTACTCGATGAAATACCTAATTTATCAAGACAAATTGAAATGACATAGCAAAGGGTCCCTTTTGAAATGGCTATTAATTGCCAAATAGTTAACAACATATTAATATAAAAATGTTTCCAATAGTATAATTGTATACTAATAATGACAACGCTACTGTAACGTAAGTGTCATTAATCTGTTTTTAATGCTTTTACCTTTAATTGATAACCTCTTGTGATTTGAAATTCGTCTCAGACAAGAGTGTTTGGTCGGGAATTACCACTTGTAACTAATTTCTTGCTCAATTCAAATCGAATGGCCAACGAGTTGTATTCGATTATCAGTAAATGGTAATCTTCGTAATGTTCATGGCAACTTTCTTACCAAAAACTCCAAGATAGGTATCCTTAATTTTCCAGGCTTGTAGGCATTGTTTGAATAGCGACAGTTCAACATTATATGTTATGAGGAATCCAGGTTGATTCTTGGCTACGCATTCAGATAATTAGATGGTCCGTATTGCCTTGTATATCCATCCTGTTTGTTATAATGGCGTTCAATCGTACAAGTATATATAAACGAGCTGGTTCATTGCAGTTTCACAGAACATGAACGTGTAAGGTTTAGTAGTTGTTATATAGACGCGGCGGCCATGTTGAAATAGTCGATTTTGGATAACTACTTTATGTAAGTGGAAACGATTAGTGTCCTTCCCAGCCGAATTTGGTGGTCGCTCGATGTAAGCAAAACGATTAATGTCGTTCACAGGGACTCTCAGGCAATTGTTAAAATAGAAGGTAAAAAGGCCGGGTGACGTGTTTCGACGAGCATTAGCATTGTACTGAGAATTGGTTTGGTGGTCTCAGCGCAAAAAAACAATACATTTTCTAAATTTCTGGCCCCACCTCATAAAGCAATAATGGGACACATTTTTTAAGAACGAGACAAACATGTACACTCTCTTTTTATATATCTAGGTTGATGAAAAGATACAGAATTAGTTTGAATGGGATATGTTTTATGAAAGAGACAAACAAGTTATTACTTTGATCCAATGTGTATGTTCAATAAATGCGGTGAAGTATGGGGCACAAGTGACATTTCGTGCAGGTTTACATAAAGTGGAAATAAGCGAATTCACACATTTCAAAATGGCGCATGCAAGCTGCTGGACATTTCGGCTTTCGTTACTTTTAGGGGACCATTTCTCTAAAGAGCAAAACAAGTAAGTGCGAGAAGAAAGTGAAGAGTTTAAAACGACGGAAGAAGATAATGTGTATAGTGGAGAACCAAAAAAAGAATGAAGGGCGCACAATGGTTATCGTGAAAGCATCTTTTAGCCAGGAACCATGCGTTTCGCAATCGCTTTTGATTTAAGGCTGCCTCACAATTTAATGGAACCAATGTGAAGAGAATTGTAACCAGTTAGGATTGTTAAGGTCTACATCGAACCTCAAAAGTTAGAGTGTCTATGGCAAGGAATTATTATGATTTCAAGGACTTGGTAGTTCTCTCCTCGAGTAATTAGTGGACTTGTGAGTCTTGGAAATGAATGAACCATACAAAAGCAAATGATGCTAGTGTGATATTTCAGCGCATCACATCACTTTTGGTAAGTCAAGCGACATCGAAAGTAAGGAAATGTTACTTAACCTGTGAAGTACATGGCACAAATACATATTAGCTTAACTGAAACGACTTCCATTTGTTGTTTTCAGATATATTTGATTCACTTGTATTTAATAAAATAATGTTGTTTGACAGTTAGGTAAAGCTGTTTTGTCATATATTTGATTCAGTTGTATTTGATAAATGTTGCCTCACAGTTATTGGGGCCTCTTATTAGGCAAGTAATTTGAACTTTTTTTTAGTACTGTTGCCTCACAGTTATAAGGATCTCTTTAGTTATCCACTTTGAAGGGGCCACTTTTGGCATCCAATTTGAATATTTTGCCACATATCGCCAGCCCTCTGGCGATTTTTGCCAAAATCGCCAATTTCGCCAAAATCGCCAGCCTCCAAGGGGCCACTTTTGGCATCCAATTCAAATCGCCACAGGCTGGTGATTTTTCGCCAAAATCGCCATTTTCGCCAAAATCGCCAGCCTCCAAGGGACCACTTTTGGCATCCAATTCAAATCGCCAGCAGCTGGCGATTTTTCGCCAGTTCCGCCATTTTCGCCATTGCATGCATTTCTGGACATAAGTGCTTCAGGCAACATTCGTTCCCACTGAGTATTAAGTAATATTTTACCAGGTTTGTAACATCATCACATGACAGTTTGATAGGTCAAGTTCGTAGTCAATTCTAGAGCAAACAGAGGTGAATCGTGCAATTGGCTGTAAAGTTTTCGCTTCGCTTACCATCACAAATACCTCCTCTGCGCCATGTGTCTTTTTCACAACGGAACAACCTCCCAATTTTTCTTTAATTTTTGGCAGTTTACAACTAAATATGTTAATTTAACCTGGGAAATCTAAAATATTTAATTCCTTGGTAATAATTTGATGTTTTCTTTTCTCCCAAGTCTCTCTCTAAAACGAAAATGTAATAGTTTTCCAAAAAAAAGTAATATTGAAAAGCCCCGATTAGTTCCATAAAACTCGTATTGATGGTCACGAACAAGAGGCCCATGTGGCAATAGCCTGTGCAAGGCTCTCAGTTAGTATAGTGGGGACATGTTAAAACGAGCAGAGCGAAAATTAGATGCCCGCGAATTGGGAAAGGGAGCAGTGGCGGCGGAAAAAATGGGAGAAAGAGCCTGTTAGCATTTCTTTAACGACCCAATAAAAGATGGCGGTAAGCTTTTCCCTCTGTTGGGAGATTATGCCCTGGAAGGTTCTACATTTTCACTGAGCAAATGTGATTTTAGCCGCTTGTTTCACACTGAGAGGTCATGGCACACATATCGATTTACTGTGGTTTTTGTTTCAGGTCAGCAGGATTTGCCCTCGGATGAAAGAGCATTTTCTTTGACCTCTTTTGACGCGTAAGGCTTTTTATTACATCTCAATAAGGGTTTTAATTTTCTCCAAAGTGCCTTCTGGATCTGACTAACTAAGGGATTTTCTTTAGTCGATGAATGTAATGTTTTTCTGCAATGTTGTATCATGCTGGGTCAAGCGCGTTAGTTTTCTTTGCAGAATGTTAAATTATTATGGATAGTGATTTACAGATCCTAAATTATAAGAATTAAGAGCAGTTTAAACTGAAACTACATCAACTCAGGAGAATTGCATTGTGACTCAGTAAGGGACCAGTCATAATTTAAGTTGGAGGGGGGGTGGAGGAGAAATTGGGGGGCCTTCAATTTTTTTTGGATGGAATATGGGGGGCCTTAAAATGCCAAAAGATGACCTTGGGGGGTCTTCAAGTTTCTTTTAAGTAGCATCCCTACTGAGCAGCATGATGTTTGAGAATTAAAGTACCTGATTTTGATTCAGTTTTACACAGTCCTATATTGTGTAATACTAAAACAATTTAATCAGCATTTTTACAAAAAGATTTCATGATCAAATAGTAGGTGCATCAACACAACATCCATTATTGTGTAACACTGAAACAATTTCATCGGCATTTTGGCAAATGATTACATGCATAAAGTCATGTTATGCAATCTCACTACCCGAATCATTATTTGTAGATGAGGTTGATGCGGACTCACTGTCTGTGTCACTGTCAAGTTTTTTGCTACTAGAGCATGTACTGCTCATATAAAAAGCATTTAGCTTTGGCTGATTATCTTCTTTCTTCCTTGAAGCGGTCCTGTCGGCCTCTCACCTTTCGATGGCTTGTCTTATCTCAATAATAACACAATCACTGATATATCCTTGCTCTATAAGCTGTTTGAGAGGCTCTAGGTGAAATCTCTTTCTCAGTTTAGTGTGAAGTGCTTCTCTGTTGTTAGTTGGCACATTCGGAAGTGACAGTGAGTAAGAACGGTAAAGTAAAGAAAATTTTATTTGTTATTACCATTTGGGTATTATGTATAAGAAAGGGGGGGCCCTTAAATCTTTTAACATGATTGAAGGGGGGTACCTAAAAAACATGGGTGCTATTAGTGGGGGTCTGGAAAAAATTTGGAATAAAAAACAATTTCTCCTTCACTCCCCCCTCCAACTTAAATTATGACTGGTCCCTAAACTCCAACTTACTGTTTTTCTAAAGATAGTGTGAGTCTTTTGAGTGGAGCGCATAGTTCCTCCCTTGGTAATAGCTTTTGAATAAGCTAAACAGTCTTTGGACTGTTTTGTTATTGCCACTTTGTCATCAGTCAGGACTCCAAACTACCGAGAATACTTTCACACTTTCCTTTTCTTGCCTTTTGCTTGTCCTCCTCTCCCTCTTCACCGATGCCAATAGCTGCGGCCAAAAATTCAAGCTTGTTCAGTTGTTTCGCTTGGTCTCGCATTATAGATATCAGCGGCGAAACGACTATTAGCGCAGAGTTTTTGGCAGGCATAACAAGTAGACGTCTTAAAAAGGCAATACATTATTAGAATTGTAGAATTTATATCACTTTCCAACTTACTGTGGATGTAGCAGGAACTAAAGAAGGTTTATTGCCAAATCCAGGAGTTTGGACAATAGACCAGCCATCATCGCTGCTATCACTTATTACATGTAATGACTCATCCTGTAACAAGAATATGACAGCCGTAAGAATTCATTGAGAATTGAGTTAGAGAAACAAAGCCAAGGTTATCATTTCCAACAGGCCGTCAGAGTACTACGTCTTGAGTAATTTATTTATTTATTTATTATTTTCCCACAATAAAGATTACACAAGCATTACATTATACAAAGATGTGGCGAGGGGACCTCAGAAAACCACAAGGCTTGTACGAGGAGGCCCCCTCGTTACAATAATATTAAGCAATAGAACTATAACAACACACAACAACGGACAGTACAAGACGCATTATCGATATAGTAGAAAATCAAAAACTTTCGTTTTAAACGATTGCAATGTAAAAATCGAAGTGACTGAGTTTGGTAAAGAATTCCAAATTTTAGGGCCTTGGAACAAAATAGAAAATTGTTTGGTGTTAGTTCGGCAGGCATGAGAACGGAAATGCGAGGAACTTCTAGTATTATAATTATGAATATTGCTACTAGTAACAAAAAGGTTCGAAAAAAGCGGTGGCAGTAATTGATGATAATATGAAAACATAAATTGTGCAGTATAGAATGAATTAATGTTGTATATGTCCAAAATCTTTAAACGGAAAAATAATGGTTCAGAGTGCGCGCGAAAATCTGCATTTGTAATAATTCGTACTGCTCGCTTTTGTAGAAGAAAAATTCTATTAAGGTTTGTTACATAAGTGGAGGACCAAACAGATCTATATTGTAGTCTCCACCCAAATAACAATATTTGTCATTTCTAGTTATTTTAGCAAGAATCTCATTAAATTTGTCCAAAAAGTCCCGAGTGTTATAATTAGGCGGACGATAAACAGTACCAACTATAATATTTTTCCCATTGGGAATGTTAATTTCAACAAAAGAGTTTCGATCACTTCAGGTTCAGAATAATTACAATCGCGGCATAATTTGTATTCTAAATCGTCAAGTAAATAAAGACCTGCTCCACCGGCGGACTTGCTATCGCGGTGGTTCGAAATAAATTTATATCCAGGTATTTCCACCTGGTCCGACGTAAGCTCAGTTAGCCAGGTTTCCGATACGCATATGGCAGAAAATGGATTTTGCAAATGACTAAGCAGGAATTTAAATTTATCTAAATGACCGATTAGGCTTCGTGTATTAATATGAAATACAGAGAAACAAGGAGAATTTGAACTATTAGTTAGCTTAGCATTAATTTCATCCTCAGTATAATAATTACTAGGAGGAGGAGAAAAAGTAAACTGTTGATCTGGATCTAACTCATTAAAGAAAAACTGATTAGAGACAGACGAATTATCAATTGGGTTGTACAAAAGAGAGCTTAATCGTTCGCTATCATAATGTAGAGGTCCATGCGTCATTTCATATAAAGCAATATTAAAATCGTTATTGCCTAAATGAGAAAAAGGGAGCTCAGGCTCAGGGAGCTCAGAGTCAGAAGCCATTTGGCTTCACTGGCTAATAATTAACTGTCAATGTATATAGCCCGATACTTAGCTTTGTCTTGAGTTCTTGAACTCCTCAAAATTTGCCATAGACATAAAAGAATAGACTTGGGATGCTGGGTTATCATCTTTACGCAACAAAACTTTGCCATTCTTTGTCCAGGCAAACTTGAAGTGATTTACCCTCTTGAACTCTTTAACCTTAGCCAAAAGCTCGCGGTTCTTCTGGGTCAAGCTCTCGTTGATATACAAGTCAAACTCTTCGGTAAAACCAAGATCCATAGCTGTCTTACTCCTTATCTCTCTCTTTCTGCTCAACAAACGGTCACGGACATTACGACGACAGAACTTTACAATTATTGGAGGGGCATTTCGGCCTTCTCTACTTGGCAGACGATGGCTGATAGAAATGTCGGCCAACGAGATCTCAAGCTCAGGATCAACCAACTCCACAAGCTTACACACAAGATCGTCTGTTTCTTCATCAGGTCGCGTAGGCACGCCATGTATTTCAACATATCATCACGCGAAGATACTGCTTTAATGCCTCGCTGTCGTTTTTCGACTTCCTCCAGCTTAATTCAAGACTGTTTAAGCTGCCCTTTCAGGGCATCAACTTCTGATCTCAGGCGCCGGTTCTCCGAAGTTAGATCTTCAGTTGCCTTCTTAGCCTTTTCGAATTTGGCGTCAACAAAAGCTTGGCTTCGTTTAATTTCGTCTATATCATCTTTGTAAAGCTTGAAGTACTTAAGCATCATATCGTGAATAGACTCAGATTGCTCCTTCAACCGTCTTGTCAGAATTACTTCAAAATCCTGAAGACCGGCGGCCATGTTTATTGCTTCGTTGCCATCCCGGAAAGACACACTTTCTTCGGTTTCGGATAATTCCGCTTGTTCTGCTGCCGTCTGATTAGCAGATTGATTTGACGGCTTCTTTTGGCCTTTTTTTGATTTACCTGACATGTTTTAGAACGTTTAGAACTCAAAGAAATGGGGAGCTCAGAAAAATACGTCTCACCCGTCCGTCACCACGTGCCGTTGTAAAGTAAACCAGTATCAAGTAGTTAAAATATAAAAACCATGACTATACCTTGCTCAATTCAATGGCCTTTAGTAGGGCGTCTTCTTTGCTTTCCTTCTGGTAAGCTTGCATCCAGCTTTGGCCGTAATCAGCGTATTCTCAATTCCCGAAACAACTTCCGCGTAAGTTCTTTTGGCTGACATGTTAGCTCCCAAATAAAGCGAAATTGCAGAATTTAACAGCGACCACACTGGAAAACCAACACAACTCATCTACTAAGGCCCCATCCCCTAAATGTTGATGAGGCAGCTAACAGTGCGTTTGTTGTAAGGAATGTCGTTGCCCATCATTTGTACAACTGATCAATAGAGTCATAATAACGTGCCCTGTATTGACTCCAGAATTAAATTAATTACAGGAGAAAGAGACCATGCACTTTCAAAATTTAAACTTTACTGCAAAAAGAAAACTGATATGTTAGTCGAAGTATTTGAAGGGGTTCGTACATTGCTCATTAGAAACTTCAAATGTTGAACTTATGAAAAAAGTCCCTTATATTGTTCATTAGAAGTTAATTAGCCCTGAAGAGGACTGTTGTTGTTGACAGTGACTGACGTTTCAATGACCTGTGCGGTAGTCATCTTTAGAGTCAAAGTGAGTTGTATCACGTCAGTTGATGGTATTATACTCTGGTTATTAATCTGATTGGTGAATTACGTCGCGATGTTATTGGTCGTCTGTCAGTTAAGCTGTTATGTTATTGGCTATGAAGACTCGTAATCAGTAATTGGTGCGTTTCGATCAGTCTATTGTCACAGTTAAACAGTCGTCTATTGTTAGTCAAATTGTCAGTTCTCCAGTCGTTCTCTCGTAATCATTATCTGCAGATGTTTCGCTTGTAACTGAGCTTGATGATCTTGCTGGTGGAGAGTTAAAGCCATGGCCCATTCCACTTGATGAAAAGCTGTAGTTTGGAGGTGTATATGCGTGATTTGGTGGATGATACCCTGACGCAGCTCCTTGCATAAGCATTTGGGTCACTCTCATCATAGTTTGGGACATGGTGAGCATCATTTGTCGAACAAACTCTCGATCCTCTTCTCTTTTCTTGGAAAGTGGGTCTGATGTAATTGAATTACTCTGGATGATCTCCTGCATCTGTTTGATCTGTTGATTGGATTGCTCTATTACATCACACAGGTGAGGTTTTTTTGCTAGGACCACCAGACTTACCACTCTTTGTGTTTGGCTTGGATGTCTGATTAGCACTTGCTGCTCCAGATTCAGCTGCATTTGACTCCGTTGCACTTTAACCGGCACCATTAATTGACTATGCTTTAATATCATCTACTAAAGGATCATTTTAACTTTCCATTAGATGTTCCTCAGGTGGGTCTTAAACTGGATGAGTGCCTGAAAATCAAACACACAGTATGATACCACTAGATAGTGATGATATAAAAGAAATAATAAAGAATGTTCAAACAGCCTTCAATAAACCAAATTCATTCATAAGAAAGCTCAGATGAAAAGGTCATGACAGCTTAATTCGGCCAGAAAAAAGAGCATTTATTACTATTATTATTATTACTATTTTTATTATGTACTCAGTTTTGCACTCCCTTGGAGCAAGTTACAGCCAGTAACCAAGGGTTATTAGGGTCTGGCTATCTCTCAAATCTCAGGAACTCTTCTTAGTATTTTTGCAGTTTTTAGTAGAGTGGTCTTCTGCACATGCCCTGGTCTTACCCTTGGATTCATAAATTTCACTCGCAAAAAATGTCTGATTGGTTGTTACCAGACCACGTGACAGAGTAGATTCAACATGGCGGCAAAGTCGTCCCTCGTTTGTTTATTCCAGGTGAAAGAAGAAGAACTAGAGCCCTCCTATGTGGCCTTTGTTTGAATGGTCTGGACTTTTTACTATTCTCCTTTTCCTCCTGTTCCTGTGAGACTCGTTTACTGCAATGTTTGCAGTTTGGTTCACTGGATGCAACTTTCATCTCACTTACGAGCGATGTTTCTGAAAAAGAGTCAAAACAAACTCAAGAAATTTAAGGTATGGGTCTTATATTTGATTCTTCAAAAACAGGGGGTGGTCTCAATTCTTAAGCTTTCAGTATAACACAAAATAACTTAAGGACAGACTTTCTGGGTATAAGTTAATCAACTTTGAATGACGATTGGAGTCACTAATTGGCACGTGACCTATTAAAGCTGTTTTTAGCACAAAAATCTATTTGGCAATATGGCACCACTTTTAATTACTTTCGGAAGTTGCAGTTATCGTCATAGTTGTGAGACTAGTGGGTACACCATTTCTGTGTCCGGGCCTTTCAAGTTAATCTTTTAGACAGGAACGAAATTTGAAAATCGTTTGATAAGGGGAGTAGGTACTGGTACAAAATTCCGTTTATTTACACTTAAAATAAATTATTCAACAAAGCCCGGACACAGATGTCTAGTCGTTCATCTAGAGACATGTTTGGTTGCAATTTCTTTGATCGGCTGTTATTATTAAATGGTGCCATTTCTAATTTAAGTTTTGTTTTGTGCAAAATGGCCTTTAAAGGTCACGTGACCTAATTCACATATTCTTTTACTCGAAATTGCATAAACTATTGAGAGTCATTGTTTTGTTTAAGTTTTGTCTCTATAGGCCTCAATCTTCAAAATATAGACCACCCCTCGACTTTTTCAGGGAACTGAAAAAACACCCATGCCTTAATTTCCTTGAGAAATGGCCATTTTAACGGCTTAATTCTGCAGAGAAACACAGGAGGCCTTGAGGACATTTCACGTATAGTCAATTGTATTACTGAATAAAGGAAGAAAATGCTATCCTAGCAAGACAGACTGGCAAGACTTCGAATGTTGCCATTAGTCTGGGAGCAAATGTGGTCCCGTGTGAAGTTCGTGCTGAAAGCAAGCACCTAGTGTAAAAGTGTTCATTAGGACTTACTAAACATGAAAAGTTTTGGTGCCAGCTTTGCAACTTGCTCAGACGGATTTTAAGGGGGTTTAAATTCTGACCCGTGAAATCCAGCATGGAAACGAGGCCAAAACACATAATTCCTCATAACTTTGTTAATAATAGACGAAAGTACACCAAACTTGCTCACATGATTGGACATGATCCTCCCTGTTGATTTATGCTAATTTACCTAGGTCACGTGACCTTACGCATGAAAGCGAGGCTGAAACATAATTTACTATAAATTTGTCAAAAAAATCCTTATCATGCCAAACTTGCTCACCTTAGTCAGTTAGACATCTTGCATCGATTGGTGCCACTTTGTAGTGTCACGTGACCCCATACATGGAAACGAGGCTGGATATATCTGGTAGCATCGTGTAGGATGGCATTTGTCTTGCCAAATGTATTAACAACTACTAGGCAGATACATATCTGGTTATCCGAGTTCAGATACAAAAACTTCAACTAATCATTGTCCTATGGCCCATAGCACAGGGACGAGACGGATAAAGCAAATACTGCGGAGGCTCCATTGGAGAATATATCTTGTACACATAATCAATAATTTTGCCAACTTACAATACTGGTTCCAGGTATTCATTTTCGCATGTGTATTGGAACAAGGGCAGAAAATGAAAATAGCGACTACTGCTATTTTATATATACAGTCATAAAAGTCTTACTGAATATCTATATACATTGTTCCGTTGTCCATTCCTATGGAATTTCCTGTTCGACTTCGTCTTCATCATACTCATCATCACTCAGCATAATCGTTCTGGCAATCTTCAGAGCACAGAGAGAGATCAGTACAGACAAGTCCGGCTTTTTGACACTGACAACGGTTGTTAGACCAACGGGACTTGGCGCACTTGCATCGGACAAGCCGTATAATTGCCTCTGGAGCTGGTGGAAGATTTGTCATGACTAGTACCCACTTTCCATCTTCATCTTGCCATCCATAGCCTTCTGGTGAGGGAAACACCGGGTTTGCTACATGATCGTTGTTCCAAACAAGAAGCTGGTAGTGCGCTCTCAGTATGGCTTGATGGAGAGCAGCTTGTGTGGGCGGCAACCTCTCAGACTCAGCTTGATTTTTCTTAAAGAGGGACCATCTGAGGGCTTTGACAGTTTTGATGTCTGTCTTTGGTTGGTACATCCGACAAACCAGCTGTTCAACTCCACTTCTTGTGCCGTCATCTGGCTGTTCCCCACAACCGAGGTTAGCAAGAGCTTACAAGATAGGAGTGCTGGGGTTATCAAACTCATCCCAACAAGTGGCTTTTCCCTTTCCAGAGAAACTCCTAGTAACATCTGCTCCGGTCAACGCATGAAATGTTGGCAGCACAGCCGTCTTAGTGTGCCCAAGAGCGTCTGCGATTGACTTCAAGTTGATAACTCTACGACTACTGCCGGACCCTGTAACAAAGCAAGAGTTTGAGCACAAATCTGGATACCGTCGGAGAGCCAAAACAAGAACATCTGTGTCAGGAGAATATATAGAGAGTTGGGTAGCACCTTGAGCAGAGGCATCCAGAGCATGTAAAAATTAATAATCTTCGTGTCGGCTTCTTCTAGTTTACTTCGTAAATGCCTGACGTCTCTGTGCGTTGCCTCACATTCCGTTCCCCATGCCACAACGACTTGTCTCCCATTAGCGTTATCCTTCACATTCTTTGCGAGAAACATAGTAAGTTCGCCCTTGGTCTTTGAATAAGCAAGAAGCTTCTTCATCGGCACCTTGGCGATGTGGGTAGAATCAGTCACGTGATAATAAATGGGAGCATGGCCACCTTGTCATTTGACTCGTGTTGCTGATTTCAGTGAGGATGGTACATCATATCTGTCGAAGATTATGTGGAGCTCTAGTAAATCATTATACTTTACAAGCAAGCGATTCGTGAAATGTTCAACTAAGTCTCTACAGTTCTTGATCCACTCTGGCTTGTCAAGTGATTGGACTTCTGCCATTCCATCAACAATCGCGACTTTGAATCCTGCGGTGATTTCTTGTGTATTAGTACTAGGGCCACCTGCCTTCTCTAGGATATTGATAAGTGCACTCTTGCAAGAAGAATGCAACATGGTACCATCTCGTGCAAACAAAGATCTTGGGACAACAGTAAACTCATATAAGCCAACAGCCTCTTTGATGTTAATTTCTGGGCGGCTCTTGCACACCATCGCCAAACGGGCAAACAGATTTCTGTCCTCCTTTAACTCGATGATCGTCTTTAGCTTTGACTTTGATGACATTAGCACGCGTTTTCCAGGAAAGAAGATTGCGCCTCTTTACAGGAGCCCAGAGGTTGATCTTTCCTGTCTTGATCCTATCTTGTACAAAAGCACTGAATAGCCTTCTCCCTTCTTCACTCTGATTAACAAGATCTTTCTTCATTTTCTCATTCATCACAACTTTGGTGACCAAGTTGTACAGATCGGTGTTGGTGTTCTGGTCTGATGAAAAGGGATTGATGAAGGTCTTGGTTGTCTCGGACAACTTATTTATGCTGTTATCTTTGTGCGTCAAAACAGCTGAGTTTAGTTCTTGATGGTGTGCACGTTCCGGAACGAGACCCTCCATTGCCTTGGCTTCTGCTGTGAGTCGGGCTAGTTCTGGGGCAATGAGGAAAAACTTGGCTCGTGCGCTCTCATTCAAAGTGATGCCTACAAGCCCACCAGAAACTTTCATAGATCGATTGAGGTGTTCCAACGCAGTATCACCACCAACAACACAGAAGGGAACCTCCTTGTTCTTGTTCACTACCCAGTTTCCTGTGATGAACTCTCCATAGATCTCGGGGTCTGATGATTCGAGGGATGCCATTTCAGCTAGGTACAGGGGGATCATCCTTAGATAACAGATCTTGTCGTGCACAAAGAAGTACTTTGTGAACAACTCCAGTGCAATAAGATGGAGCTTCCAATCACCACTGCGGACTGCCTGGATGAATGCGAACATCTCCATTACCATGCGCGTGTATTGGCGAAATACAGTAAAGAGAGGATTTGTGTCATTCGCAGCGTCAAAATCAGACATCTTCTTGACTACTTCAGAAGAGGTGATCGCGTTGGTAGAGCTATGGTGTGCCGTCTGGATGTTCTCCTTAGTGCCTTCTTTGCACTCATCTCCTACTTTCGTAGAGAGTTCCTCGAGGGTACAACGTACATCAAGAGAGCCTTCTAGAAATGCTTCCAGGTATAAGGAAAATAAAGCCTGTAAGGTGATCATGTGTGCTCTTTTACCGTGCTTAACATGCTTGCCATCGATTATCTGTTTAACAGTGGAGGGGCCATAAAGTTCTGACTCGATCCAGCACATGTCTATCCCGCTACTGTCAATATATGACCCAATGGTCCTCAGCATAGCCATAACCACATGCAGCTCCCCTGGTCGAAGGAGAATGTTCTTGAGCTCGCATCGGGCCATCTGTAATCGTGTGGCGGGCAGATACAAACCAAGGTCTAGCGATATGACTGTTTTCCTCCCGGGACCGACTACTCTAACAGAGATATTTTGAGCACGCATTAGCACTGTGAGGAGCGTGCTCCATTCATGAGCAGGATGTGCCAACAATGGAGGAGCACCGAGACGTCTGACAGGTAGTGCTTCATTTACCAAAGAGTTTTACGCTGACCATACGGGTACAGGAGGCTGATCATTATCATCATCACTTGGGGCATCATGGCCTGTAAGGGTACGAGACACTATCCAGGTAGCATTCTCATCGCGGATGTTTTGGGGCAACTCTTGTTCTGATGACAGCTCAAATGTAGGGTACGCAGGAGAAGGGGGCCTTGATGGCGGCCCCACGCATGGCATTAAAGATGTCAGCGATTCGGACAGTTCTGTTACAGAACGGCATGAATCATTTGGCTCCTCTAACCTATCAAAATGAAAAACAAAACGCAACAACAGCTACTTATGAAGCAAAATGCTGTTCAAGAAGGGGATCTTTTCTATCCTACAGCCTAGAAATGAGATTAGCTTTTAACTTACTAGCTAGTCTTATTGAAACAAAGAAAAACCTGAATCACACAGACCAGTCATGCCAAAGTAAAAGTAAAATTAAACGTCTATTATCTAATTAACCCCCCTCCCATCGAGCACTTGGGATTAAATGAGTGCATCATGCTTCTTAGTAGAACAGTTATGGTACCTTAATACAGGTTCTTCATCTTGGGGTTCCACTTTCTGATAAATAGCCATTGCTGTGCTGTGTAGAGTACGCTTCCCGTCTGGCGTATCCTCTGAGAAATCAATATTATCAATAGCAAAATATACGTGCCGTCCTTTCACGATATCCGGAGGGAGAAACATGCCACCTTCACTCTCTATGCGCTTCAGGACAGTTTTCTCAATTTGTGACTCCACCTTCAACAAGCGATTGTACTCTACAACCATGCCAAATCCATGGAGGAGATTAACCAGCTCTTTGCTTCGTACTGCTTGGTGTATTGCTAGGCTAACTGCGAGGTTTTGGGGCATTTCTCTAGTGCAGTAGACTGCTTTTGACCTCTTGTTATCAACCTGCCTGTCTGTTAGACACAAAGCTATTGTATTCTGCGCTAATTGCATTGCTCTTTTGTGTACCTCATTGCACTTTTTATCAGATAGTGTCTTATTGGGACCTTGGATTATCCACCTAAAGAAGCAGGTAAGCTCTTCGGGGCATTGATCATGTGTCATTGTATCCAGAGAGCCAGAGAAGACCCACTTCTCGCTTCGATTAATAGCCTTTCTCAATATTGAAGCGGCATCGAAGAGAATTTTCATAGATTCATCACTGTCAGCTGTGGATTCTACGATATGGATAGCGGCATCTCTACACTGCTTTACGCTGACCCTCTTGGGCTCATTAGCTCTAGTGGGCTTATGGAATTCAACTCCCTTTATCTCTTTCTGGATAAGCTCATTAACTGAACGTCGACTTAGAGTCTTTGGACTATTGTTCTCGTTTGAAATGGAATCAAAAGCCTGTTCCAACTGTGCCATGTTGAGTATTTCTCCGCTATCGAGGGCAGCTTGGGTAAGGTTAAAAAACTCCAGCTTAACCGCTGTCTCACTTCTTGACCTTTCCTCGTCATCTTTGATAGTTTTACGCAGGACCCCAGTCACATGCTTCGCCCAGCAGCTTTTATGGTATTTAATATCAATGGTATGAGCGTCAGTGCTGTCTAGAGCCGCCGAGAGCTTCACGAGCAGTTTAGGATCCTTTGATTGCTTTACTGCTTTATCAAGAGAGCTACCAGCAGATGATGTTGACACCAAATGCAGAGGGTTCTGGTACTTCGCTTTCTCTTCACAAAAGAAGCACAGATTGCTGTCATAAGGGGCGGTTTTCGACCTTGTAAGAAGACCCTGGTTAGTGAAATGAAATTAAATGTTTTGAGATGTCAAGGATGTGATTACCTTTTCAGCGATTCCAAGATAAAAAACACAATAAAATAAAAAATTAAAGTTATAAGCCATTACACGTAGCAATTACCTGAAGCGATTCACTTGTCTTTCTTTGAGCTTCATTTGGTCCTCTAACCTCTCTCTGAAACCTCTCTTTTACCCTCTTGATCTTTCCTGAGTGGGTGGTTTCTTGGTAGCACGACATACATAAAACATAAACATAAAACTTTATTTATACTCGAATTTTAGAGTAGCTAACAAGCTAATATCTTCGAGCTGACACTACATAAAAACTATATAGAAAATATATCTATACATTAAATGCAAGGAAAGAAAATATTATGTACAATTCCCAATTTTAAGTTCAAGTATGTCAGGCAAAAAGAATCTACATGATGGTAACATCCTGTATTTTAGTCTTAAAGTCTGCAAAAAAACTGGTATGAAAAAAGTCCGGCAGTGCATTCCACTGCTTAGCTGAAAAGTAAGAAAAGGAGTTAAGACCATAGGTAGTTGTTTTAGGTTTACTTAGTGAAAGAATGTAGTTGCCACGAAGGTCATAGGAAGAGGACCGGAGTGAAAACATATTCTTCATGTAAGTAGGAAAATGAGTGAAAAACAAACTCTTATATAACAGAATGAGGAAATTTTGAATGCGTTTGTTAAACAAAGAAGTAGAGCTGACTTTTGAGAGAAGAGTATTGTATAAATCTAAGTATTCTTTTATTTAAAGCTTCAAGCTTATCCGCATCGCGCGCTCCACAAAAGTGCCAGACAGAGGAGCAATAATAAAAGTGAGGTAAAATATACGCCTTCTTAAGTTTTTTGTACAGTTTTTGCTTTTTCTTTAAGCTCTTCTAGTGGTAGATCTTTAAGCACAAGCCACAATGTTTTCGAGTTGATGTCCTCGTACTTTGAACGTTCTTCGATAGCTTCTAAAAGCTTTTGATGGGAAGTTGGATTTTCAACAAGATTGGCTGTACTTTTTTCTTGGCAGATTACACATAGCTTAAAATCTAAAGGGCCATTAGACCGGCCAAAATCCGTCATACTACAAGCACTGTGATGACTGTAAGTACAACATGGCGGGCACTCAAATAATTACCGCTGACCAATAGGTCAGGCTCACAATCACCCAGGCCCCCTAGGTTAAGAATCCACAGGAATTTGTGCGAAATAGGATTGTAGAAATCGCTCATAATAAGGTTATATAAGCCACACGAAATACATTATCATTACACCTTTTTAGCTTTTATTTTTTTCATTCAAATGCTATACATACAGCATTAATATGCATTACAATGAGTCAACGTTATTGTCCTGGATGATGTGTTCACCTTTGGCGTGTTTTGCAATCCAGCCTCATTTCTATGTATGGGGTCACGTGACACTACAAGATGTCTAACTGACTAAGGTGAGCAAGTTTGGCATGATAAGGATTTTTTTTGACAAATTTATAGTAAATTATGTGTTTCAGCCTCGCTTTCATGCGTAAGGTCACGTGACCTATGTAAATTAGCATAAATCAACAGGGAGGATCATGCCCAATCATGTGAGCAAGTTGGTGTATTTTCGTCTGTTATTAACAAAGTTATGAGGAATTATGTGTGTTAGCCTCGTTTTCACGCTGGATTTCATGGGTCAGAATTTAACCCCCCCTTAAAAGCCGTCTGAGCAAGTGGCAAAGCTGGCACCAAAACTTTTCATGTTTAGAAGGACCTAATGAACACTTTTACACAAGGTGCTTGCTTTCAGCACAAACTTCACGCGGGACCTTATTTTATGACATTTGCTCCCAGACTACATGGGGCACACTTCATCATCTATTCATAACACTATTGAACGCTTCAAAGTATTGCACTGGCTTATTACTTGATAATCTAATGGGTCCATAGTTTTATAGATAGTTTTCTTTGCTTATTATATTCTTTAAAACTTAGCTTGTGCTTGATCCGAATAAAAGTATGAAAAGCAACAATCTTAGTAGTAAACAAATATTTTGTGGGGAAAAAATTAAGGCCTTAGAAGCAGAGAACGTGTTGGTTGGAAGATTTATGACTTTGTTTTGGTTGTTCAAGTAGTTAATCTGAAACTCGTCCATAATTCATAACTAATTAGTCACGTGCCTGAGTTTTGATACCCAATGAAAACACAGATGAAAACCACATTTGTTTTGGATCACATATCAAAACCACGTGTGGTTTTCATCTGCCTTCTCATTGGACGTCAAGATTCATGGATCAAAACAAAACAAATTGAACACAAGAATAATACCTAATACAATACAGTTAATCATCATAATTAAACAGCTACACTTCCAGTTCATTTTTTTTCATCGACCACGCAAGTCAAACATTTTGACATAAAAGATCTAAGTAGTATCTAATAATTGCTTAGCTGTTTCACTGCCAAATAATCCTGCACTCCAGAACTTTTCTTCGTTCTCGTCTGTAACAGCTTCCTTCTCTTCTTTCTTCGTTTGCACACTCACACCTTGCCGCGTGCTATCCTTCATCTCGGCATCAAGACAACGAGAGAAAATAGTAAATCTGCAAAAAATATAGGAAGATTAAAATAATTGTAATTGTAGTCTTAAGTGAAAATAATATCTTGCATTGAACATAATAATTACTATATCCTCTGTTACCTTTTATCCGGAGCATCTAAAGGATTTAATGCTTCGTTTCCCACAGTTACTTCAAAATGTCGTCAGATGCCACAGATAATTCCATAAAGGGTCCTTGCTGGACACACCTTCCCTTCACTATTTGCAAACTCCTGGACAAATTTACTCAGCCTGTAGGTTAAAGTGTTGGCATCCATATTTGCCAAATCTGTACGCAACGACTGAACTTTGTAGAAATCTTCATAATCTTCTCTATTTATCTGCCATTCATGAAAGATCTTTATCGCCCATTTGGTTTTGTAGGCAGTTGACTTAGGAATACTTCCTTGCAGCAACTTTGCTTCTTCTTCCCCAGTTGTTGGAGAAGGAAAACAGCTTACGGTATTCTCTTCAAAAGACTCCGCCATCTTCACTCCCACATGATTTACAACGAACGACAACAAAATTCCCACATTTTGATTATTTTTTAAATACATTATGTCATGGAAAATTAGACCACTGAAACAATACTCCCTGATTACTAAGGAAGCGTGAATAGTTTTAGAAGCCATATCATAAACATGTGAGTCGTGTTTGACCGGAGTCTCAAGACACCTCGAAACAATCAAAGCACTTGGCCTGGTGCCTCGTGCTTGCGTCTATTACTTGGTGTCTGGATATCCTGGTCAAACACTCACTCATTTTTTATCTATTACGCCTGTTCTCAGTCGGCAGAATGGTCAATATCCAAAGGGGTCGTCACACAGAGCAATAGATTTCACCTTTTAATTTCACGTTAGAATGAACAGCAAAGTGTCTTCCTTCATCTCACACGTGTCAAAATGCGCCCGCGATATAACTAATCAGTAAATTCACGGAAATCACCTAGACAACTAGTTAATCATTGAACGGCTAAATAATTACAATTTTTCGATTCTTAACTTCCCCCTCCCGAATGCAATTGATGCATTCGCTGAGTAATAACATGCATAAAACTCTAAAGTCCACGGGGTGGCATGACCACTGTCACAGACTGTTTCTCAATAACGATCAAGGTTCAAATCATCTTTTCCAATCAATGTTTCAATCAAAAATTCTAGGTAACAAAACATCAACAACTGTCACTTTCACGATCAGCCACAGTTCTGGTATCACAGTCAAACGTTTAATGACTCTCAAGCCTCAGCACTGTCTTCTACATACTCCAGTGGACACGGGCGATGGACAGGATGCAAGTATTCCTTCTTCTTTGCCTTGACTATTACAACTTTCACTGGACCATCATTACCAGGGTATGCTTCAATCACATGGCGGAGAGGCCACTCTCCTCTGCTGGCGTTTGGCTCTACAATCAGCACAACATCACCTTCCTTCAGGTTGTGTCTTGGATGAAACCATTTCTTTGAGTAGGCCATTTCCAAATGCACAGCTCGGGTTGTAAGGCAAGTGAAAAGACACAGGTAACGTTTGGCTCTTTTCCTACCACGTCCTTGCTTCGTCAAGAATGGACCTACATAATCGACACCAACTTTTGCAAAAGCCCTTAGTGAAGACTGCAGTCTCGTTTTGGGTAACAAGGCGAGGCCATCATCTGATGGCCTATCTTCATGGTGAAACGACGTCGACATTCAGCACAAGCCTCGGTTACGTTTTGTACCATGCGCCTTCCTTTTACAATCCAGAAGCGGCTTCTTAACTCAGTTGGAACTTGCTCTACTCCAGCCCCATGGTCGAGTCTTTCATGGGCGTCAGCGATAACAAGTCTTGTTACAGGGTGATCCTTTAGTAGTAGGATAGGGTGTCTTGTGTCATATGGAAGCTCATCTGCAAAACGCAAGTGTCCATCCATTCGAATTAACCCATCACCATCAGTCTTAGGGTTCAATTGGATCAGCGACCCTTTGTTTTCTCCACCAGGGAAGGCTTGGGCTTGCTTAATCCAGAACGTCTCTGCTTCTGATATCTCGGTCGGCAGGAAGATTCGATCCTTTCTTTGTAAATTCATTGGAAGTCTGCAGTTGGTCAGGAATCGCTGAACCCATCCTGTCACATGAGCCAGACGCTTGAGGCTTGAGAATCTGTTTGGGTCAATGATCACAGTGGCATGGCAGCAAATGGTTTGAACTCACGGCTTTGATTGCGGATCCAGTATCACACATTCTCTGAGTCAGTCCAGAAGATGGTTCTGTCCACCGAGATCACTTTCAGGATATTCTGGGCTAGTCGACTTGAAAGGACAGCACCCATAAGCTCTAGCCGGGGAATTGTCATTGCCTTCACTGGGGACACACGACACTGATGCGATAAGGTGCAACGACAGACTGCTATCCTGGTATCAACAATTCAACTTGCAAGAACATCTCATAAATGTCAGTTGACAGGGCTACAGGTGCCCAACAAAAACGTGTCAACACATCAACCAAGTCTCTTTAAAGCTTTGGCCCCGGCCATATGGCGTCATTCAAGCTATTTCCATCATGCTTCGCCGCAGCATCGAAGGCCACGCGCACTTTTGTCGTAACTCTGTCTTCTTTGGCCACTGGAAAGTGGGGCAGAAACCATTGTTTCTCAACTTCAGATTGGGGTACTTGACGAATGTAGTCCTTTTTCTCGTAGCCTTGAAAGATCTTGTTGTAGGCTTCCATGACCTCTGGGCCTTTTCGCTGGAGGGACTTCTCCTGGCTTTTGAGTCACATGAGAGCTACGTCGTAATTGTTAGTGACCTTTGGTTCACCTTCTTTCCAGGGGATTCCAATTTAATTAGAATACTAAGGTACTGAACGAGTCTCTTTGTTCTGTAAACGTAAGAAACGAGAGGCATGTGGAACATTTTGAAACAAAGGGGCTTCCAGATGTGTGTTAGACAGTATTCTGTTGAGTGAATGATGTGGCGAAACATCTGTTAAGGCGATTTGTCTGCCAGATACAGCGAGTAAGCTTTATAAGTCTTAAAAGAGCGACTCAACGGTGAACTACTAACGGGTGTAGGACGTGTCCTACTTTGCACTTTGCGTAAGGCACATACGAGTCCAATATTTGAAGTCGAACTGCTTCAGTGTTTGTTGCGTATTTGAGTTACGCTTGAAACAACCTGGTGCTTAGAGAGCTACTAAGGTATAAGGTATAGTGACGAGCTTGGTCGTCTAGAGCGTAACACCGAACGGGTGAAACAGTCAAAGACCCAATGAAGCTTGAATCCTGTCGAGGAAGGAAGTGTGAAAAGTGTAGGGCATGAGAAAAAACGAATTGTAGAAAGGACAAGGGGGCGATCCCGAAGGAATAATGTGGCCCAAGTTGTAAACTGGGTGTGCAGCGTTTACAGCAATAGTTGAAGTGAACAGGATTGGGCTTAGAAGGGTCGTTAACGTGTTTCTATGCAAGTGCCCTCGTAAGGGAGGACAATCTAAGCAACAACAACTGCTGGTACCGAGAGCCTACGCACCGG